ATAATCTACCTCTTTTGTCTGTAACTCACTATCATTTGTCTATTTGTTTTCCTGAGAAACTATCTTGTAGATAACAATATGTAAAACAATAACAATTGATAATTTCCTACCACTTTGTCTGTAATTTGGTAAGCCCCCTCATTATTATGTTATCCTTCTTTTACTCTTTAAAATAAAAAAAATTTGAAATAAAAAAAAAATTATAGAGAAGTAGCGGAAGGTTCTGTCACTTCTATTTCACCTGTTCTCATTTCAAAGACCAATGAAAGACATTTTAGTACTATCTTTGCATCAGTTTGGCAACAACTATTTTTACTGTAAGACACAGCTCTGGCTTGGGTATGGTCTAAATGTCCCTCCCACTGTAATTAAAAGTGTGCTCTCCAAGGTGGCACTGTTGGAGAAGGTGGAACCTTTAGAATGTGCAGCCTCCTGAGAAATTCTTACGTCAGCAGGGGATGAGGTGGTTCTCCTGAAACTGCAAGAGGACTGTTATAAAAGGAGCAGCCCTGGCTCTGCCTGCATCCTCTTTTCCAGTTTGAGATATGACCACTTTTGTCCACATCTGCTTTGAGCACGATGTGCCACCACCCAGGGCCCTAACCACAAACCAAACCAATGAGAACCCCTCGTCCCACCTGCTCATGAACTTTGAACTGGGATAAATGTTTCTCTTTATAAAGTTAGTTGCCTTCAGCATTTAGTTGTCATAACAGAAAGCTAATACTTTGTAGGCAATGAACCTCGTAAATAATTATATTTCCCTTTTCACTTGGATATTATGAAGTAAACAAATTAATTTTTGATATAATAATAGCAACTTTATAGAATGTCAGAGCAGAAGAGTTTTTTTGTCTTCTTTTGGCATTAACTACTTTCCTCATTTGATTTTATTTTCATATCCTGATTTCCTCAACTACTGATTTTATTCTGATTTATATTTTTTAGCAGATTAGTTATGATTCTTTGATGCACATCAGATCATCAATGGCTGTCGTAGTCCTATTTGCTGAAAGTAAAATCTTTTTGCTATTTACAAAAGTACAAATAAGACAGAGACATCTTACATAAATATTAGATTTCATAGAAGTAAACTCAATACACACAAGATCTTGTCTCTATATTATAAGAAAACATTGTATTCTGTATTTTAAAACACTATGGCAATTAATTAATAAATTAAATATACCCAATTAATTAATAAATTAAATAGGATCCAGCCCTGTCACTTAGATATTTGCTCAAGAGAAATAAAAGCAAACATTCACACAAAGACAGAAAATGTTCAAATGTTCAGAGCATGTCAATTTTGGAAGCTCCAAACTGGACATAATCTAAATGTCCTTCAATGACTGAATGAATAAAACTGCGGTACACCCGTACAATAGAATACATACTACTTCATAGTAAAAAGGGACCAAATCTTCATGCAAGTCAGAGAGTAGATGAATCTTGTAATAATTATATGCAGAAGGGAGCCATACAAACAGATGAGTACTTAACTGTATTATCTTGGTATAAAAAACTGTAGAAAACGCAAACTCATCTACACAGATATAAAGGAAATCACTGGCTGCCTAGGGACAGGGGAGATAAGAGGATTACGAAGTGCCAAGAAACAATCTGAGGGGCTGAGGAAAATGTTCACTATCTTGCTGCGGTGATGGTCTCGTAAATGTGTACGTATGTCCAATGTTATCAGAGTACATAGCCTGAAATGTGCTTACTGAATATGAATTAACTTCAGTAATGTAAAAGTGGGAAGAGTAAGTATTAAAATGTTAGGCAGTTCACAGAACTATGAGAAAAGTTAAAAAGTGGGCACAGGGACATTAAAATATTGACTATTCTAGAAGGAAAAAAGTAAGAAAAACTTGTTTTGCCAATGCACATGGAGGCAGTAAC